TACATGTATTGTTTTTCTTATATTGAACCATCTTTGCATACCTCTTATGAATCCAGGTTGGTCACAATTAGTTATTTTTTTATGTACTTTTGGAGTCTATTGGCTAGAATTTTGGCAAGGATTTTTGTGTCTATGTTCATAAGAGATGTGGGTCTAAAGTTTATCTTTTGGTAATGTCTTCGCCTAGTTTTGGTATTACATTTATGTTTGCTTCATAGAATATCCCTGGAGATGTTCATTCTTTTTCTATATTTTGAAATAAGTAGAATTGGTGATAAATCTATGAATGTTTGATAGAATTCAGCTGTGAAGCCATCTGGTCCAGGATATTTTTGTGAGGGAACCTTTTTATGACCTGCTCAATTTCTTGTTTTGTGACAGGTGTGCTCAAGTGTTCTATATCTGACAGTGTCAATCTGGGCAGGGCTTGAGTTTCAAGGAATTTGTCCATTTCCTCTAAGATTTCAAATTTATCTGAGTATAGCTTTTCATAATATTCTGATATTATTGATTTAATTTCCTTTTTGTTGTGATGACACCGCTATCATCCTCTAATTATTTGTGTCTTCTCCTCTTTTTATTTTGTTAACTTTGCCAATGGTTTGTCAATTTGATTGATCCTTTTGAAAAACCTACTCTTGGACTTATGAATGGTTTCTATTGTTTTTCTGTTTTCTGTCTCATTGATTGCAGCTCTTACCCTTATAATTTCCTTTTTTCTAGAGGCTGTTTGGTTAGATTGTTGTTCTTTTTCTACCTGATAAAGGTGTTGAGTTAGAGAATTTATTTTACCTCTTTCTTTGTTTTTCATGTGTTTGCCTATTGGTATGTATTGCCACCTAAAGACTGTCTTAGCTGCATCCCAGAGGTGTTAGTATATTGTATTTTCATTATTAATTGTTTTGAGAAACTTTTTTATTTCATTCTTTAAGTCTTCTATAACCCAATTGTGTTCTGTTGCTGTTGTTGTTGATTGCTGCTTAGTCTGACTACATGAACAAAAGACCTGAGGCCTTTCTATAGCTATGGACATTTATCAAAGTTCATACAGTTTCCAGAGGCACATTATTCAGGAAGTGGATGCAAGGTGTTATTTAGCTTCCACATTGATGACTGTATAAGCTTTATCCTCTAATTTGTAGTTTTATAGCATTGTGATCTGAGAAGATATTTTGCATTATGTAAATGTTTTTTAATTTGTTGAGGCTTGCCTTATGCCCTAATATGTGATCAATTTCAGAGAATGTAACATGTACGCTTGAGAAAAAAGTGAGTTTTAGATAGGTGTAGTGCTCAGAGTACATCCATAAGGTCATGTTGGCTAACTCTGTAGTTCACGTCTTCTGCATCTTTGTTAAGTTTCTTTTGATTTGACATATCCTGTGGTGAGGGTGGTGTGTTAAATTCTCTTATCACTATTGTGTTGCTGTTTCTTTCTTCAGTTCTGTTAACAGTTGTTTTATGTATTTAACAGATCTATCATTTGATGCAAAGATGTTGACTAATGGTGTCTTCTTGATTTACTGTGCATTTTTAATCATTATATATTGCCCTTCCTTATCTTTAATGATGGTTTCCATTCTGAAGTCTATTTTATCATAGATTAGTATTGTTACTCCTCTTTTTTTGTGTGGATACCATTTGCTTGGTATATTTTTCCCCCAGCCTTTGATTTTGAGTCTATCTTTCTCTTCATGTATTAGACGTGTCTCTTGCAACAAACAACATATTGATGGGCTTTTTTTCTTCCTCCCCCCCCTTCTATTACTCTTTTCCTCTTGCTTGGTGCATTAAGTCCATTCAAATGAAATGTGATTATTAAAAGGCTAGGCTTTAATCATTGCCATTTTGCGGTGTTTCTTTTTTTGTTGTTTCTTGTTACTTTGGTCCATCCACTTTCCTTTGGTGTCTCTGTGTCAAGAATCTCTCTCAATAGTTCTCGGAATTGTTATCTTGTTTTCTTAAATTCCTCAAGTTTTATCTTCTCTGCCAAGAATATGATTTCTCCTTCATATGGTAAGGAGAACTTTGTTAGGTACAAGATCCTGGGTAGTGTGTTTTTTCTGTCAACTTTCTGTATAAGCTATCCCACTCTCTTCTTGCTCGCATGGTTTCTGCTTGAAAATCAGAATTTAATTTGATTATTTTTCCTTTGTCAGTGACTCTTTGTTTTTCTTGTATTGCTTTCAGTATTCTATCCTTATCTTTTATTTTGGAGAATTTGTCTATGATATGTCTTGATGTTTTCCTTTTTGGGGTTTAGTCTATTTGGTGTTTGCTGACCTTCCTGAATGTGGATTTCCTCATTTTTAATAAATCTGGGAAGTATTTGTCTAATATCTCTCCTGGAATTCCAGTCATATGTATTTTATTGCTTTTGATTTTCTCCCACAAGATTCTAATGTTTTCTTCATTTTCTTACATCTCATCTCTGATTTTTTTCTAGTGTGTTTCCATCGAGGTTCTTCTCTTCCAGCTCTGGCACTTTGATCCATCTCTTCTGTTCTCCTTTTTTGTTCTACCAATGTTTTGGACACTTCTGCTATTTCAGACTTAATGTTCTGGACTGCATCCTCATGCCTTTCTGTTATTTCTAGTACTATATTGACACTGCCTTCTCCATCTTTTGATGATTTTTTAAGTTCTTGTATCTCATTATCTATAGTTTCTTTTTTTCCCATTTTCTTCCGTATTTATGCAAGTTGCTCCTCATCAATATCTTTCTTCTGGCTCCATGTCTCTAGAGCATTTGCTTCCTTGCTGGTTTCTATTGTTTCTTCTATCACTTGTACCTTCTTCCGTAGCTGTCCAAATAACTCTTCATCAATATATATATTTTTTTTTTATTTTCTGATTCTTTACCAGTAGGTTATTCCCTTCATTTGTGGCTTCCTTTGTTTATTCCATCATTTGTACTTTTATTCTTAGCCATTTGAATGTCTCCAATATATATCATCTGCCTTTTTGACTCTGGAGTATTCTGTGCTTTTTTGGGGAGAAGGCTTAATTTGTTTTTTCCACAGTGTTTGAAGCTGCCTATTGATTTCTTGACATTATGTGACATTATCTTGATAAGTGTTAGATTGTTCCTATTGTGTCTGCAAAAGTTGTTGATAGTTCTTGTCTTTATAATGTTCCTAACTAGTATTCAAATTAAAATGTGGTGAGTTACTCGCTCCACTGTAAGTCCTTTTGGGGAAAATTTGCCTTTCCTAATGTCTTTGAGGTTCACCCTCTTCTGTACTGCAGCCCTGTAGGAATTTCCACTTGAAGTAGTCTCCTGGCATCAATTCTATAGGTCTCCTTCATATATGAAGTGGCTGAGTGGTATGAGACCAGGTGCTCCAGTCAAGTAGTTTCTCATGTGCCTTTTCTCTTGGAGCTTAATGTCTTCCTTTGTCTCTGGAGTGGCATAGATTATAGATCAGGGCTGCCAGCTCAAACAGCTTGAATGCAGGAGGTCTCAAGTCAGCCATCCTTCTATCCTATAGAAAGCGACAAAAGTCTCTTCCCTCTTCCCAAAGTCCTGCACACTAAAGTCTCTTGTTCTTTTCGGCCCCAAGGATGGAGGCAAGTATCCCAAGAAGGACAGACCTGCAACTCCAGGGACACCTCAGTCCTGCCTCCCCACAAGCAAGGGAAAGTGCTTGCTCCTGACCTTTTCTCCTGTGCTTGATGTCCTCTTTTGTCTCCAGTGTGGAGGGAGATTAGTTGTTGATTTTTAAAGTGATTGGCATGTTGCAAATCCCCAACAATTGACTTTTCACATTTTCAAGAAATGTGTCCACTTTTTACCTAAAAGATGAGGTTGTCCGGCTTTCAAAAGCTGTTGCTAGTTCTATGGCAAAATCCAAGTATTAAAAATAGAAATAGTGGACATTCACTCAAAGGCACCAATGTGTCTTAAGACTTAGATTTGTTGAAAGCAAGATGTAGAGAATAAGAGTGGTAATTAGTGAGGATACTTAGAATTCTTATGATTATTGCCTTCCTTTCTTCTTTTTGTTGTAGCATTCATTTTGTACCATAATTTAGCAGACAAGAAGATGGCTGTTCAACAATTTATAGCTACATTAAAGCTCTTTTGCTTTATAATTCTCTTCATGCCATTTCTATTACTCATACACTATAATTGCTAAAAGTAGAGATCAAATAAAGTTATATTTTCCCCTTAGATTTAATGCACAGAGTTGCACTCCAAAAAGACAGTAATTGTTGAAAATGATAATCAAGTATATTTTAAGATTTTGAACGTAACACAGACCACAGAAAAACTACGGAGTACATCTACTTTATGTATGAGGTTGCCAGGAGGCAGAATCAACTCAGTGAGAGCTAAGAGCAACAGTATTAACCTGACATAGAAAGGAATTATGAAAAAGCATATTCAATTATTTTTGCATATAGGTGGCTAAGAAAAGTTTTACTCATAATAAACTTAGGATCGTAGCAATTTTGTAGTTGACAGAGATCTTAAATATTGTCTGGTGTGCCACTCTCACATTTTATGTGAAAACTGAAGGCTAAAGAAAAAAAAAAGACAACGATTTTTCTTAGTTACAGACAAAGCTTCACTAAGCTTTTTTCACTTAACTCCTAATTGAAAATTCCTAGAATCCCTTTGCAATTATCTGCATTAGCAAGGTCTTCTAACTAAAAACTCAGCAGACACATGGTCATGATGTGTGTGTGTGTGTGTGTGTGTGAGAGAGAGAGAAAGAGAAAGAGAGTTCAATTGTAAACATTTGTTCTTCCCAGTATCAGTCTATGTTATTGAGGTAATCTTATTTGTTGAGCACTTTGAATATCATAAAGAAAGATACTGAAAAGTAAAATAGAACTATAATTTTCTATGTTAGGGCATACAAATAGGAGTTTACAATGTTGTAACACTATGATGAAAACGAAGCCGGTGATAAATTGAAGGCATTTAAATGTATAATTCTGCAAGTGTTTTTTACCTTAATCATCATTTTTTCCCCATTTTCTCTTCTGTTCAGGATTCTAGTTTTATTAGGATCCATAAAGCAATAAAAGTGTTAAACTTTACAATGAAAAGTGAAGATCTGCAGCTTTCTGATGTCTTTTTAAAATCACTTAACCATCTGCCGCTGGAATATAATTTTGCTCTGTATAGTCGGATATTTGATGACTTTGGGACTCACTATTTCACTTCTGGCTCTCTGGGTGGTGTGTATGATCTCCTCTATCAATTCAGTAGAGAAGAACTGAAGAACTCAGGTATGTTTTTGCCACTCTTCATTTTACAACTGATATAACATTCAATACACCTTTCTGCCAGTCTTATTCTTTCTTTTTAATTATTTACTGACCTTTTATAAAAACTAGTTGTAATTGTCTTGACTTAAATTTGTGTTTACCCTGTGTGCATCAGAGTCAAACTCTGCTCTATAAAATTTCAGTGATTGATTTTTCAAAAGAGGCCACTACCAAAGTGCCAATGAATGGCTGAATTTGAGCCTCTAAACTTGAGTTAATAGCCAAGTGTATTAATTGTTTATCCCATCTAAGAACTTCATCATCAACATTCTTCAGACTATTTTTTTCTAACATTATATAAATTGGAAAGCCAGTTACATACTCAAGTTAATAAAGTAAAATATAAAATAAGGGCCAATCAAAGATAGACAAATGTGTTGAATGTCCATGAAAGGCCATCATATTTGTTTTTTGAGTTGCAACATTAAGAAGACAAATATTCTCACCACTGGACTAATTGGCAGAACCATGAAAGATGGAGAAGAGATTGAGCTTGTTGACAATTTTAGCTTGCTCAGCTCCACACTCAACACTCTTAGCACTAGCAGTCAGGAAATCAGAAGATGAATTGCACTGAGAAAATCTGCTATCAGGGACCTCTCTATCAGAGTTCTGAGAAGCAACGATGTCAGTCTAGAGACTAAAGTGCATCTGATCCAGGCCTTGGTCTTCATAATTCCTGGTTATATATTAGATAGCTGGATAATGACTAAGAATGACAAAAGAAGGATCAAAGAGTTGTGGTGCTGGAGAAGTATCTTAAACATACCATGGACCATTAAGAAAACAAATAGGTTTGTTTGAGAGAGGGTGAAGCAAAGTTTCTTCTCAGAGGCTAGGATTTTGAAACTCCATCTTACATACTTTGGGTGCGTGGCCAGGAGGGACCATTCCTGGAGAAGGACATCATGCATTGAAGGGTGGAGGGACCATGCAGGAGAAGAAGACCCGGAATGAGATGGATTGATACAATAATGGGGCAATTAGGGTATGAAATGAATTAAGTCATTTTTTAATTCTACACTCTGCTGACAAAGACCTCTTCTTCAGAGGTCTTTGCTAAAAACAAGAATGTTACTTTTAAAAAATTTGATACTTGGGTTTGGTTCCCCTCTCCCCAATTTCTTTCTATGCATCTGAAAGTTGGACAGTGAATAAAAATAGCAGAAAAGGTATTAATGCCTTTACGTTGTGATGTTGGAAAACAGTACTGAATTTCCTGTGGATGATGAAAATAACAAATCTCTCTTGGAAGAAACTGAGTACAAACAGAATACTCTTTGGAGGCAAGGATAGTGAAACTTCATCTTAAATACTGTGCATGAAGTCAGGAAGGGGCAGTCCTTAGAAGGGTGGAGAGTCAGAGAAAGAGAGGGAGATCCAGAACAAGATAGATTGACATGGTCACTGTAACAATAGGCTTGTACGTGTAAGAGATGGTGAGGATGTCTCAGAATAGGGCCAGATTCATATCTCTTATTCATTGGGGTTACTAAAGGTCATAACTGAGTTGATGCCACCAAGATCACAAGTGACCTAGAATGGTAAAAGTATGCCAAACCTGAGGAAAACAAATTTTGCCCTGCAATTAATTTTAAAGGATCATTTACTGTGACATCTTTTTAAAATTTGTTTTTACTTTATTATTTTTTGTGTGTGTACCGTCCAATCAGAACTGACTGGAACAGGAGGAGATTGTCCTTCCTTCTCCAGCAGAGCATCTGGTGGATTCGAATCTCACACCTCTGGGATTGCAATGCAGCTTCTTGCCACTAGGCCACCAGGGCTCGACATTTACTATGACATCTTTTTAAAAGATAAAATTTATGTAGAACACCAATTTTATAGCCAAGACAATAGAAGCTTATTTCTTTTAGTGAATTAACTAAAACCCAAAGACATGAGATGAAAGAAAAGAATAGATTCACCATGAACCTAACTTCACATTAACCTGATAAGTAACTAGTGGGTGTGGGGGAGAACCAGTGAATTGAAAAGACCATGACCTGGATCATTTGTTTACAGACGTAGGAGTCTGCAAACAAATTCACACAAAGTTCTTTATGCTGAAATAATTACTGGTGGTTTTAGTTAACTTTGGAATTCAAGATTTTGGTTTGTATTGCTATTTTACATGTAAGATCATATCATTGATTATACATAAAGATTTAAAACAGTGCATTTTTCTCAAATAAAAATGCTTCCCATGTGGTTTTAAGGTTTATAGTCTTGGAAGAAAAATTCCATCGTTTACTTCCAAATGATTTGTCCCTAAAGGAGCTGTGCAGCACAGCTCAGCACCTACGGATATAAGACTACCTTGAGTCAATGGATGTACCTGATGTCTCAGCACCTACGGATATAAGACTTCCTTGAGTCAATGGATGTACCTGATGTCTCAGCACCAACGTACATAAGACTACCTTGAGTCAATGGATGTATCTGATGTCTCAGCACCTACGGATATAAGATTTCTTTGAATCGATGGATGTAACTGATGTCTTCTGCCATTAAGAATGACATTAATATCAAAGCTGAGCAAACAGGGTTGCCTTTTAGTTTGGCTCGATCCTATCTTTAGAATGAAATTATTCATATCAGTACTCCTATAACCCAGAGACTAATGTCTCACTTTATAAGTTCTTGTTGTTCTTGTTGTGTATTGTGGGGTCAGAACCAACTCATAGTTGACTCTCCAGTGAGTTCTCAGAGGCAATAAATCACATAAGATGTGATTATTCATCTTTCTTCTGTGGATCAGCTGCAGGATTTGAACTGCCCACCTTTGAGATAGCAGTGCTGCTCCTTACCACTGGGCCGTCAGAACTCCCTTTATGAACTATGACATTGTTTGTTGTTATGTGCCACTGAGTTGCCTGCAACTCGTAGTGACCCTATGTACAAGAACTCTGAACACTGTCCTGTCCTAAGCCAGTCTCACTGACTCTGGCACACCTACTCCTATTATGTCATTTACTTTGTCA